AGGAGCCTAACCGAGGCAGCGTTGTCTCCCCGTGTGGAGGTTTTGCCTGTTGTGGCAGGAGCTGAAGGAAGCTTGGCAGTGATGGGAAGATGATGTGCCCGTCCCAAAGCGTCACTCCAGGTTGTTCTGCAGCTTTTGGGAAGTTTGGGAGAGTTGGTTTTCTCCGTCGAGGCCCCTTCTGCAGGTTTTCCTTTAGGTTTTTTTCTTGTCCCTGCACGCTGTGATTAAAGAGAGGTAGAAGGGGAGAGGCCAAGGGCTGTTCTCTGGTCCATACCGACCTGCTGGTGAGGAAAAGCTGGTCCTGGTCCCATCCTGCCTCGCTGTCACTGCCCACCTCTCCTGGAAACCCTCTTCCCTCTGACAGCCCTCGTCACCAGGGCGGTCCTGTGGGACCCTCCTCTTCCTCCTCCTCCTCCTTACTTGGAGCAAAGTGCAGCTCCCAGCTCTCCTTGGGACGTGCAGACTCCCCTGGACTGGGTGTCTCTTGTCCCAGCTGCTGTTCTGGCTGCTCCCTGGGACCTCGGGGACAGTCTCACTGTGGCTCAGGCTCAGCAGGACACAGCTCCTCTGTGTTTATCCTCCTGCAGCTCCCCTCCTGCTGGCTCCAGGAGCAGGGGCTCTGCCCTGGGCTCCTGCTGCTTCTCCATGGCTGGCACCCCTCAGATGCTGCCCTTCCTCCTCCCTTGCACTCCTCTTTTACTCCTTCCCAAGCTCATCAAAACTATTTTTTCCTGGTTAACTCTCTTGTCCCCACCCTGGCTGCTCACATCCACTCTGGGCTGTTGGCTCCTTGCCCCTGAGCCCTTCAACCAGCTTGGGGAGTGTTTTTGAGGGTCAGAGCCCTCCTGAGGATCTCCCCTCAGCACCCCTCACGTTCAAACAGGTTCCTCCTGGAGCATTTCATCCAAGGTCCCAGCTAAAACAACCCTTAACAGCAGCCTTGAAGCTGCTCTGCTCTGACCCCTGGTTATTTGGTTACTTCCCACTAACCTGGGGTTTATTTTCTCCACTTTTCCCTCCTGTGTTCTCAGGCAGAAGAGTTCAGTGGTAATAACATCAGTCAGCACAGTTTGCTTTTGGGTTCTTTGCCAGCTTTTAACTATTTTAAAGCTTACAAGAAGGTGTCAGAGTTGAGTTTTTGAGGGATCATAGAATCAATAAGGTTGGAAAAGAGCTCTCAGGTCAAGTCCAGCCATCAACCCAACACTACCACGAGCACTAAACCATGTCCCCAAGTGCTATATCCACCTGTTTTTTGGACCCCTCTGGGGATGGGGGCTCCAGCACCTCCCTGGGCAGCCTGGGCCAACCCCTCCCCACTCTGTCAGGAAAGAAATTCTTCCTCATATCCAATGGAAACCTCCCCTGGGGCAACCTCAGCCCATTGCCTCTCCTGCTATTTCTTGTTCCAACCTCTTTTCAGGGAGTTGTAGAGCAGGAGAAGGTCTCCCAGGGATGGACGTGGTGGGATCAGGGGCTGTCTCTCGGGGGAAGAGGATGGCACCTGCCTTTGAGGAGGAGGAGAAGTGCCTTCATCCATCTCACACCTGATCTCCATCACCTCTGAACCCCTTGAGCTGGGCAGCTCCTGCTCTGGGGCTCTCCAGTGGTGCCAGCGTTGGGCTGAGGGTGGTTTCTCACAGGAGGCTTCTAGGAAATGTCAAAAATGGGGGGGGAAATTGGTCCTTTTTATTCTTTTATCCTATAAATCAGAGTGAGGAGGAGTTGGGCTGCTGGAGCTCCTGCCTCAGGATTTTGCCCCAGAGTTGGTGCCCTCAGGGAAGGGGAGAGCAGAGGTTTAAATCCATTGCTGTTGGCATGGGCATCTCCCATCCTGGGTCAAGGCTTGCCCAAACACTAGCCACTCAGTCTGGCTTGTGGGCCACCAAATGTTTCTGTGAGGTGATGCTGTGACAACTTTTCCTCTGGGGAGAGGTTCAGGGGGGTTGTGTCTCATCTCTGTGCCCACAGAGTTAAACAGGACATGTCACACACAGGTCCATAGAGCTGGTGGCCACCCTGGAGCTTGGCAAGAAGCTGGGGTGGACTCTGTTCTAATTTTCTCATATTCTCTCTATTTCCTCTCTGCTTTAAGCCAAAACAGTAATTAAGAAGCCATTCATCCAGCAGATAAGTGCTTCAGAGCCCTCTTGGACCTAAAGACACTGAGTTTACTTCCATAGCCTCTCACTCTAGGATGGGTTTTTATCTTCCCTGCTGGGCAGTTGGGGTGAATCTTGGTTTATAAACATCAGCCCTAAATTGAGCAGCTCCCCCTGCTCCCTCAAAGCAGCCAAGCCCTGTCTGCCTGTGAGCACCTGGAGAGTGGAGGTTGGGAAGGGCAGTTCCTGGTGACAGATCCTTGGGCTTGTGTTTGTTGCTTTGGGGAAACTCTTCCTTTTGGACACACAGTGTAAAATCAGCCCTTGGGATTGGTTGGTCAGTGTCAGGCTCACACAGTCCAGATGTTCCTGCTGGGAGCTTTGAGACCAAGCTCAGTGCAGGCTGGGGGTGCTGGGCTAGGTGACTTCTGGACCTTGGTGCTGATTCCTTGTCCAGGATCAAGCCCTTCAGTAGGAAACGTGGACAAGAGCTCTGCAGGGAGTCCTGACAGCACCAGTGCAGGAGCAGGGACTCTGCCTTTGAGTGAGGCTTCTCAGTGATGGCATTCAGTGTGTTACAGATGGACAAAGTCCCTGTGCCCGTGGCAAAAAAAAATGGCAGAAGTGTGTTGGTGGCCACTCACTGTCCAGATTCAGTCCTCCCAGAAGGACCCTGAGGGGCTGGAGCGTGGGCAGAGAAGGGCAACGGAGCTGCTGGGGAAGGGTCTAGAGGGCAAGTGTGGGGAGAAGCAGCTGCGGGAGCTGGGGGTGCTGAGCCTGGAGCAAAGGAGGCTCAGGGGAGACCTTCTGGCTCTGACACCTCCTGACAGGAGCCTGGAGCCAGGGGGGGGTGAGATCTCTTGTCCTCAAGTGATGGAGTGAGAGGAACCAGCCTCAAGTTGCCCCAGGGGAGGTTGGGGTTGCCCCTGAGGAACAATTTCTTGCCCTGGAGGGTTGCCCAGGGCTGTGCCAGGCTGCCCAGGGCAGTGGTGGAGTCCCCACCCCTGGAGGGGTTCCCAAGCCGTGGAGATGTGGGGTGAGGGACACGGGGCAGTGGGGACCTGGGGGGACTCCAGGAGCTCCAAGCTCTCTCCCAACCAGAAAGATTTCTGTGACTTTTCCCCACATCAGGGAGGAACGTTGGAAAAGAGGCAGGGGATAAAATTTAGCAATTAATTTCCAATAAAAGCTTGTGAGGTGGTTGTTGGCTGGGAAATAGTCCCCTCTGCACCAAAGGAGCCTCGTAAAAGTCCCAGCTCTCCTCCTGGCTGGCCTGGAGCAGGAGAACATGGAGCTCCTGGAGGCTGAGTGGTGCCAGTGGGTGGTTTGGGGGTTTTCCTGCAGCAAATCATGAATCCAGGAGCGGTGTCAATAAGGGGGAAACTCCCACTGGAAGTTCCTGGTGGGAAACTTGGAGAGCTTCAAAGAGGCTCTGCTGAGGTTGGGACCGCCGGGAAATGGAGCAGGATGGAGAGTTGAGAGATGTCTTGATAAACCCACTGATTATTGGGGTACAGCTGGAGAGAGGGGTGTCACCCAAGGAAAGGGGGACCATGAGAGTGAAACAAAACCATCTCTTGTCACTGTTCTATACTGAAACCCTCCTGTTGTGTCATTCAATTAAAAGAAGGTGTTAATGAGCCCAGGGGCTGAGCTTCCCGTGCTCCTGAGAGGAGGAGAGGTTTGGAGAGAGACCTGGCTGCAGAGCTGGATGTTGGGGTGCTGCTGAGGGTGGGAGGTGGGTGGTGGGGACCAGGGGGTGCTCTGGGAGAAATGGGGTCCCTGGAGGAGGAGCGATGGGGGGTCCAGGGCCCCCTGTGTGCCACACAAAAGCTGGTGCTGGCCAGGAACAGGCAGCACTTCTTAAATGAACTTAATGAACATCAGTTTATTAACAGGAGGGGTTTCAGGAGAAGGTCTCTCCTCATTTATAATCAGTGTCCTGGACAGCTACTGCTGGAGGTACCTGCATCAGTTTATTAACAGGAGGGGGTTCAGGAGAAGGTCTCTCCTCGCCCATAATCAGTGTCCTCTGGACAGCTACTGCTGGAGGTACCTGGGAGAACCTCCCTGGTAACACTGTGAGACTTTGAGACCATTTTAAGCCGTTCCAGCCCAAAAAAAGGGCCATTTATCCATGACAGTTTGTAGAAAAGGTGAGTTAGTGGCCTCTCCATTACAAAACTGGGGGTTCTGGTGAGTCCATGGCCAACCTGGGGGGTGCTGGAGCTTCAGGGAGTAGACCAGACCCAAACTGGAGCCACTGGGCTCATTCCACTGCAGAAGTAGGTGCCAGTTCATGTTTGAGCTCCCCAAATATGGCAGGAGGAGCACAGGGGGGTTCTTTTCTTTCTTTTTGGGTCTTTTCCCAAGCCTAAGTCAGAGTCAAGGCTTGATATCACCAAACATTTTTGGGGAATGATTTGGAAATGGAAGATTTCCTCTCTACTCCCCAGTTTTGATCGTCGACGCTGAAACACCCCCCCCCCCCCCGCAGACCCTGCAACATCCTTCCCCAAACGTGGCTGACCTGAAAGCTTCTCCTTGATGACCCAGGGTTTTCTTTTTGTCTTCAGCTGCCTTTCCTCACCGACTGAACCTTTTTTACTTGGCCAACGACGTCATACAGAACTGCAAGAGGAAAAACGCCATCGTCTTCCGCGACACCTTCGCAGAAGTGCTCCCTGAGGCAGCCTCCTTGGTCAAGTAAGTTCCCCAAACGTGGCTGACCTGAAAGCTTCTCCTTGATGACCCAGGGTTTTCTTTTTGTCTTCAGCTGCCTTTCCTCACCGACTGAACCTTTTTTACTTGGCCAACGACGTCATACAGAACTGCAAGAGGAAAAACGCCATCGTCTTCCGCGACACCTTCGCAGAAGTGCTCCCTGAGGCAGCCTCCTTGGTCAAGTAAGTCACAGCCCTGGGGGGGAAGGAGGCCTCAAAAAAGGTGACACATTTTCTTCCAACGTCCTCCAGCCAGCTGGAAACGTCCAGGGTTTGGTTCCAGTGGTGGGGTTTGGGTTTCTCCACAAGGAATAGGCAAGAATGGGAGTGGAGCTCGGTGTGGATTCACACAGGGGGGCTTGTTGGGGTGCAGGTATCATGTGAGGTGGTGTGAGGGGCAAGTCTGCTGTGGGAGACTCACCAGGAGGAAGAGGAGAAGGTCTTTGTGGTCTCCAGGGATCTGCCTGGGGTTGACCACCATGAGAACAAGCCTCATAGGTGCTGCTTTAACCCCTCTGCAAGCTCCTCTCTGCCTCCTGTGTTGCTAAAATATTCTTTCTGGTCAAGGTAACTCATCCTCAAAGGTGTTTTTGTGCTCTGCTGGAAATCAGAGGCTTTAATTTGTTACAGCAACACTGGATGAAAAGCTCTGGGGCTGGCAGGTGTCCTGGTGGGCGAGACCCACAGGGGTCTTTGCTGCCTTCTAGTTGGGTTTCCACATCTTCCTCCAACCAGATGGTCTCAGAGGGGCTGGACTAAATAAAACCCCAAAGCAGCTCTGTAGTAGTAACGTGATGTTGCTGCTCTCCACGTTGTTGGGACAGATTTTGAAGCGACAGATGGTTGAGGCAGAGAAAAGGTTAAAGTTGGGCTGCTCATTAGCTTATATTTAAATGTAGAAAGTTGAAACTGCTGTTAATAGACGGCAGCAAGAAGGAGGAGGGAGAAAAAACTGTGGGAGTATCAGGAAAAAAAGAGAGAAGGGAAAAACTCCAGCAAGAATTGCCTGTCACTGATCCTTTGGTAGCCCCAAGTGGCTTCACCAACCCCCTTCCTGCTCCAGATGTTGTAGAAACAGCCACCTGGGTAAAACATCTGTGGACTTGCTGCTTCCATCTTGAAGTATTTGTGTGCTGAGGGGCCGTGGGTCTTGGCTGCCCCTTTCTGGGTGATTTTTGTCTCTCCCACGTGCCCCTGGCTGGAGGTGTCACCAGCTGTCCCCCTGCAGAGCTCAGCACGGCCAGGGATGGCAGTGTGGCTCTGTGGCAGAGCCTTGGCAACGGGCCTTCCTCCAAGTCAGTTCAAAAAGCAGCAAAAGTGGCCAGAAAAACACCTCACTCACTTTCAGTGCTGCAAAGTGAACTCAGCAGGGCTTGAAGTATTTCAAAATTGGGCTTAAAAGGCTCCTGTGTCTTATTTTTTTTCTCCCAGCTCTGAAATAATCCCTTTTTTTTTTTTCCCTTATGAAGAAAGGCTTCAGAGAAATCCTGTTGGTATTACTACTGCTCTGAAACTTTCTCATTTTAGCAGAAAAAAAGGGCCCCAATCAATTAATGATGTGGAATTGTCACCTTGGTCTCACTGGGACCCCTTGCAGAACTCGAGTCCTCCCAAGATCTTTGATTTAAACACATAATTATTTGCTTCATTACCCATTCTAGAAACCTAAGAAATGACAAAGGGGAGGGGGGATAAAGCAAACCCACTGTACTCTTTGTTTTTTCAGGGATCCATCCGTGTCCAAATCTATTGAAAGAATCTTCAAAATCTGGGAGGACAGGAACGTGTACCCTGAGGAAACTATTTTGGCACTGAAAGAAGCTCTGAGTAAGTTCCTCACCCTTTGCATTGCTCACCTTGCAAAACTCATGGGGGGGTGGGGTTAAAGGAAATACAAGTCTCTTGTTCTTTTCTGCCTTTGCACCTAGTGCAGGGTGGAAAGCAGCGAGATGTGGGCTGTGAATTCCTCCAGATTTGTACTTTGTAAAGCCAGCTCTGAACCCTCTCACGTAAACTGGAGTTGTTCCAGCTGAGAGTAAACAGAAGGTGAAGGGAGAGTGGTGCTGAACACGGTGCCCTGGCTCTACCTCCTGTCCCTGGCTCCACCTTTGAGTCTGCTTTAGCAATAAGTTGTTTTGTCTGATAATATTTGTGGTGTGAGAAAGAGGCTGGAAACAAAGCTTGGAGGGCGAAGCCTCCTCGAGGCCAGGGGGGGGGCAAAGAACTCTCCTTAAAAGCCCAAATGGCTCAAGTTCAACCAAAAACACACGTAGGCAGTGAAAAACCAGGAATCAGTCGATACTCAAATACTTGAAGGAGGTTAGTCTGTGTTTCTGCTTCACTCCTACACCACTGAGAGCTGAAGGTGCTTCAGGAACTCCTCACGTGTGGCTTTGAGAGCCAGCCAGAGTCCTCCTGGCAGGAGGAACACGGTGGCTTGGGCTCAGGCTTCACCACAGGGAAAGGGTGTTGCATGTGGAGAGGTGAAGTTTCCACGTAGGCTTTGAAATCCTGAATATTTGTAACCTTTCAGATTCCTCCCCAATCAGCTCTGGTGGCTGTTTTCCCAACTTGCCTGTGAAAGCTCATTTCCTAAAAGAGCTCAGCGGTGTGGTTTTTGTTTCTCAGTGCCTTGTGTTTTCTCTTTGACTCTGCTGGTTAGTGGGATTTTTGAACTGTCTTAGAGGAAGGGCAAACAGAAACTTGATTTAAAACTGGAAGACCACCCCCCAGGTTGCTGTATTCCTGAGTCAACTGAGGTTCTCTTGGGCATCCAGCAGCTCACCGAAGGAAGTTGGTCTAGGTCTTTTAAAACAAATTTCTGTTCACTCTTTTGACCATACAACCATGTATGGCACCCCAAAAAATAAAAAAACCAGATTCTTAAAGGAATCCCATAATGCCAGACTGCAAAAACTGAAATGTTTTCCAGGTACAACTTTCAAAACTCAGAAGCAGCTGAAAGAAACTCTGAACAAACAACCGAATAAGCCGTGGAAGAAATCACAAAGTAAGGAAACCATGTGAACTCTCTGAACTAATATAGAAATTGCCTTCTTCAGGAGCAGAAGAAAGGCTGAGCCCAAACTGGGCCAAATCCCTGGATAAAATCCAAGCCAGCATGTGTCTTCCAGGCTTGTAAAGCCCCTTCCAGACTAATATCTAAAGCACTGAGGAGTCGTTGCTGTTTTTTTAAAGGAACGAAGTTTTAAACATAAACCTTTGTGAGAGGTTATGAACAGTGGAGGAAAAGAGCTGGTGGCAGCCCTTGGAAACTGGTGTTAGACTTACTCAGAGCTGGAAAGAAGACAGAGAGCAGGGAGAGGTGGAACCCTGCGTGCTGAGGAACATCTTCAACAGCCAACTTAGTGCTAAGAGAAAAGCAAACTGGAAGCTGGAAGTGCAGATAACGAACTTTGGAGCTCAGTCTAGCAGGAAATGCCTTCATAATATCCCCATCTGACTAATCTAAAGCCTTGAGAGGTCTGTAAAGCCAGCTGGTGGAGTGTTAGGTGTGAGATGTGGCGTGGTCAGGCCGTTCACAAAAGCCTTTTGGAAGAGTTTGGTTACTGGGTTTAACATCACAGCTGCTTTCCCAAACAAAAACGTGCTCCCTTCAGCATGGATGAAGGGTTTAGGGGTGTGCTGCTTATCAGATCTCCTGGTTTTGTCCAGAAAACAGTGGATTTAGTGTCTCTTTGACAAGATTTCTTCCCTGGCTCTGTTAATAAGATGTCAGAATAGAGGTGGGACAGTTCTTAAAGTTGAGAGCGTGGTTAGGAGCAGTGAGGAAGCTCTTAGGAAATCACCTTCCTCACAGAGAGGTGTCAACTCAGGTGAGCCTTGACCCTTGCAGGGACCCATCTTCCCAACAGCAGAGCTGGAAAAAAAAACCTTAGAGCATGTTAAAAAGGGATCCTAAAAAGCAATAATGATGATTTGTTGGCCTCAGTTGCAACCCAAGTGCCTGTGACCCACTTAGCCAGAGCACTGAGGGACATCTGTGTGGAGGGGAGAATGTCAGGAGCCACAGCCTGAGAGTCTTCCCTTGAATTTTGTTGTGGATCTTTTATTTTCTCTTTTATTAGAGCTGCCTTTTGGGACTGACTTTTAGCTGGGGTGCAGTTCCTTGGGTTCTTGACACTCTCCCTTTATCCCAACAGCATCTGCCAACCCGAAAGCTGCTTTGAAGTCCAAGATTGTTGCCGAATTCAGGGTGAGTCTACAAGAGGAAAAGTTCTGGGGCAAACCTCCATCCTTGGGCTGGCACTTTTGTGTCTCTGACATCCACCAGCAGCATCAGCTTGATGAGAAGCTCTGGTGTTTAATCTCTTTTTGCTCCTCGGCCATATAACCATGTCCTTAAGTGCCACATCTACTAAATTTTTAACCCCTCCAGGGATGGAGACTCCACCTCCCTGGGCCAAGGCCTCACCAGCTTCCCCCAAACCAGTGTGTGGTGTTCATGGGCACTGGTAGAGTGAAAAAAAAAGAATAAAAAAGATTTAGTCCTACTCTTAATCATTGTGGCCTTGGAGAATTACATCAGAAACTATCATAACCATCGTGGCCTTGGAGAATTAAATCCAAAACTATCATAACCATCATGGCCTTGGGGAATTACAGCCCCTGCTCAAGCCCAAGCCTGCTGATGTGTCTAAATGGGGGTTAAAAACTCAGATCCACGTGGCTGGTGTCTGTGTGGCCTCTGGTGCTGTTGGTTATTCCACGGAATGTGATGAGGATGCTTTTCTTGTGTGATTTTTTTTCTTTGCCCAGCCTCAGTCTCTGATTGATGAACTGCTGCTCTACAAACGCTCCGAAGACCAGATAGAGCTGAAAGAGAAGCAGCTTTCCACCATGAGGGTGGATGTGTGCAGCACTGAGACACTTAAATGCTTAAAAGGTAAAGGCAACGTGTAACACGCAGAACCTGGCACTGGAGGAGGCACAGACAGAGCTGTAGGAGCTCCTGGGTCTGTTGAGCCTTCAGCAGAAATCAGCCTGTGTCTGTATAACACCAAAATTTCAACACACAGTTCAGAACCACCAAGCAGGAGACTCAAATCTTTGTTATTTTGAAGCTGTTGCTTGAAACCTAGGTTGGTAGAAACCTAGATTTGTAGAAAAACCCCAAAACTTTGAAACACAAAGCCTCAAGCAAAGCAGAAGTGCTGAAGATACATCTTGTGCTATTCAAACACACCCTCTCTTAATTCAGAACCTCTTAAATAATTTTAGATTGCAATTAATTAAGGCATTCCTCAATGGTTATGCTTTGAGAGTGCCAACTGTGAGGCTGATAGCAAGCAGTGCCTGTTGGGGGAAAGAAACTGAGGTATCTGGAGCCCTATTAAAGGAAAATTAACCATAAAAGCTCCAATGGCTGTCGTGGTGCTTGGTAATCCTGACTTCAGCCTTTGAAAATGGGGATTTACAGCCTTGGTACCTCAGATGTGAACCCAAATGATTTTAGGAACGCAGTGCCTATTGGGGTAAAGAAACCAAGGTCTCTGGAGCCATAATAAGGGAAAATTAACCATGAAAGGTCCAAGGGCTGTCGTGGTGCTTGGTAATCCCTGTCTGCAGCCTTTGAAAATGGGGATTTACAGCCATGGTACCTCAGATGTGAACCCAAATGATTTTAGGAACCCTTGGAATAGGGCAACAAAATTCCAGCTTGCTGTTGAGGATATCTGAGAGCTGATTTCCCATCTGATGGCTGGCAGCTTGTTGACGAGGTGTTCATCTCCTTGCAGACAAAACAGGGGGAAAGAAGTTCTCCAAGGAGTTTGAAGAAGCAAGTTCCAAGCTGGAAGAGTTTGTCAATGGCTTGGACAAGCAGGTGAAGAACGGCCCCTCTCTCACCGAGGCCCTGGAGAACGCCGGCATCTTCTACGAAGCGCAGTACAAGGAAGTCAAGGTGGTGGCAAATGTAAGTACCTTGGTCCTCAGGCCTCCACAGGTGAGGTTCTGAGCTCCTCCTGTGCTCGCCGAGCACCTCAGAGGCCAGAAAACTCATCATCTCTGCTCAAAAATGGAGCAGTCCCAAAAGAGAGCGGGGTGAAGGTGTCGGGAGAGACCCTGGAAAAGTCTGTGGGTCAGAAGCTCAGTTTCTGCTTGTGTTGGACAAGATGGGGGGTTGGACTAGATGACTTTTCAAGGTCCTTCCAACCCAAAATCGAAAGTTTTTGGGTGTGTTTGTTTTTTTTTAGCCACTCTGGATTTGTGAAGCCAAACTAGTTAGTCTGAACAAATCCTCAATTGTGGCAGCTGCCCGAGTTGTGATCAGTACGGAATCTAGATGAACAAAGGAAGAGAGAGTTCAGTAAAGCATTGCACAAACAACCAACCCTGCCAAAAAAGCCCAAACCAGCAGCATATTTGTTAGAAAAATGGGGATAAGTCACAGGAAAAAGGTTTTAACTTCTGTTTTTTTGTGGTCGTTGCTCTGCAAGACACACTGACAAGCTGAGTTCTGACTGCAGAGTCCTCCCTGCAGGGTGCAGGTCGCTGGAAACTAAAGGGAAAGCTCCTTAGGGAAGTGCTTGAGGCATCCTGTCTACCTATAAAAAATACTCAGCCCAGGTTCTTTCCCCCCTTAGGCCTATAAAACCTTTGCCAATCGAGTGAGCAACCTGAAGAAGAAGCTGGACCAGCTGAAGGCCACTCTGCCTGACCCAGAGGAGTCCCCAGTCCCCTCTCCCAGCATGGACGCCCCGTCCCCGACGGGCTCCGAGTCCCCGTTCCAGGGGATGGGGGAGGAGGAGAGCTCGGGGTCCCGGGGGGCAGCCGCAAGGCGGGGTCCCCAGAGCCCGTGACAGACAACAGGGACGTGGAGGACATGGAGCTCTCTGACGTGGAGGAGGACACGGCCAAGATCATCGGTGGGTGCCACGGGGGGCAGGACAGTGGTTGGGTAGGGATGGGCTGGGGGTAGGAGAGCCCCTTGTCCAGCCCTGCTCATGGTGGGGTGGACACACGGAGCCCTTGTAGGGCTGTGGGTTGGTGCTGTTGGGTTTCCATCTCCTGCCACGAGCAGGGTGTCCCTGTCCTGCCCAATCCAGGCAGGATTGTTCCCATCTCCCACTCCTCTCAGCAAATCCATTCCCTGTGGGAATCGAGCCTGCTGATAATCCTG